ACCCTACGATTACGTATTTCCGGTTTTCGTGAAAAAGGTCCATTCTTTCGCGCGAAAGGGAAACACACTGACGTCACATACGGGGCACGAGGCTACATTGCGCATGTCATGAACCGTCGAACCGTGCGACGCATGCATGCTCCGAACCGAGACAAGCCAACCGAACGGTTCGGTTTTTTATATAATTATTATATTTTATATTATTTTATCATTATTACTTAATTTAATGTAAGAGTCACAGCTTTTGTGATAGTTGTTTTATGTTTGATTGTTCTCAGCTAATTAAAAAAAAGTAATAAATATATGTTGGAAGCAATTCATATCTTTGTCCATCCATCCATCCATCACCGTAACCGCTTAATCCCAACTGGGGTCACGGGGCGGACCGGAGCCTATCCCAGGAAAAAGGGGCATGGGTGGGAACCAACCGTGGGCAGTCGCCAACACACCGCAGGGTGCATACACACACAAAATTACAGGGTCAATTTAGACAAGCCAATCAACCTACCCTGCACGCTTTTGGACCATGGGAGGAAACTGGACCCACCACTGGAAACCCACGCAAACACAGGGAGAGCGTGCAAAGTACACACAGAAAGAACCTACGTCCGACCCTGGGATCGAACCCAGGACCTTCTTGCTATAAGGCAGCAACAATAGCCACTGTGTGACTGTGCCATATGTTTTAAATCTATTACACACTTAATATTGAACTGAAGCTTGACACATAAAAAATTATATCACAAATCAAAACGTAATCGCAACATCTGTCAGAAATATCGTGATTAGAATCATGATTAGGTATTTTCCCCAAATAGTTCAGCCCTAGTGACAGGCCTACACCTGTCATTCAAATCACACTGCAAGCTAATTACATTCCCAGGCGTTCAGTTGTAATGGAATCAAATACAGTTGCATTAAAAGAAGCAAAATCAAAACTATCAGGCCCTGCCAGGACTAATGACTTTATTAGTAATGTATATCGACAGCTTGGAGTATGAGGAGGAAGCTGAGCGTATGAGGTGTGATTATTCTCCCTCACTGTAGTAAAGGCCCTTTGTTACTCACCGCAGTTTCTTCAAGATAAAGAATCCAGCTGGAAAAAGCCCCAGAGCCAGTAAAACACCGATGACAATCCCAGCAATCGCTCCACCAGACAGGCCATTGTGGACACCTCCCTCTGCAGGAATAAATGAACAATAATTCAGGATCAGTAACCAATACAAACTTTGGTTTACTACCAAGTGAAGGAAAAGTACGAGTTACATAAAGCAGCATCTTTACAGACAGATCAGATAAATAACAGATATCTAGACAGTTCTCACGCCTCAGCTGTAAATGCATCTTACTAACAATAAGAAATTGTTAGTAATTTTTAAGAAATTAAAAATTTTAATTGTTTGACAGCACCAATATATATATATAAATTTTAATTGTTTGACAGCACTAATATATATATATATACAC